TGCCCGAAAACCTCGAGGATTGAGACCACATGGGTGCTCAATGGTATTTGTCAGCTGAGACTGTAAAGCGGACAGTCGACGGTAGGACTCTTCGGAAACACATGTGACGAGGCCAACGGATCCGTTTTGGGAGGTAATGAGCATCTGATGACGAGGAATTTTAATGTCAACATCCATCGCTTCAGCATCGGAGATCATTTGCTCGGAGGAGACTGAAGTACGCGGCAAGAGCGTCAAGGTCGAGATGAAGTTGCCTGTATGGAATTTGCTGCGACTCAGTAGCCTATCACCATTGGATGATTTTGGGTCTATTCATTATCAGTGGACTGCTTGCTGAACTATTTTGACAAAAGACAATGTGACACACCTTCAGGGTCATATTGGAGCACATGAAGGTTGCAGTCACTGTCAGCGATGATAATGAACAACTTGTTGTCATCAGGAAGGAAATCTGCTGCCAGGACCTCGAGGTAATCCAGATCCTTTGCGAAGAGGCTCATTTTATAAGGCTCTTCCTGGAAGCACAATATTGTCAGATCTATTGTCCATTGGTTCACACTTTTTGAGAACTGAGAACTTACTGAGTAGCCCGTAAACCAGAGCCCTTTCACAGCATCAGCGATGATGCACATTCCTGTGCCCTTAAGCTCCTTTATCACGCTAACATGGCATTGCACGTCCATGAAAGCAACAGGAAGAAGGCTACCATCTTCCTTGAGGCCTCTGACAATGCATTTCTGTCCCTGTGCGACTATCAGAAAGCCCTGGCCACCGATTTCGGACAAGGCGGTCACTGCTCCTTTTACCGGCTCTTTGCCTACGAGTCTCAATTTACGGTCTGTCTCTGGCCTCTCAGGATCAGGGACGACCTTGATGACTTCAAAGACGTACACGCAACCACGCGATGCAATGTCTTCACCTCTTGCAAATGCTGTTCCCACAACGATCATATCCTTACGCTCATGTGTGTTTTCAGAGATCTCAAGGCTCATGTTTTTTACCGCCATCACATGCTCGGCAGGGCCCAGTAGATAACTTCCAGGTGAAAGAAAACAGAATGTTAGTAAATCTTATTGGACTTTTCGTAATAGCTTCATACCTATCAACGACGGTCCACGTTTTCGGACTCATGACTTTTAGAGAGCTTCGCTGCACTTCAGGAAAGAACGAGGTCACTATAATATTATCAGCATACTACACAGACGTCAACAGTTGCTAGACATACTTTCATTGCGCCACTCAGGATGTAACTCATCATCGTCAGGTAACTTGAATTCTGTCGTATGAGAAGTTCCTAAGACATACATGCCAGATGACGAAGAGTAGGCTAGGTGATCAACTTGCTCTCCAATGGGTATCTGCTGTATTGTCCACGAATAGTCAAGCTGAACACCAAGAGGCACTCGACACATATGAACGACACCCTGTATAAAAATTCAGTATGTATTAAGCAGAGAAGAATGAAGCGAAGCACCTCAGAATCCAGGAGGATAAAGCCTTCCCCACGTTCGGAAGTTTCAAACTTGCTAAGACACTGCGCATACCCTCCCCTAAGGCACAGAAAATGTGGAGAGCTTGTCGAGGTTCTGACTATAAAACCCGGTGAAGCACCTGGCCTGAATATTGTGCTGAGTCCTGAAACGTTGGGTATAATGCGCAGTGGTTTGCTTTTCATCACCTCCTCATTTGACAACTGATCTTCCACACCGGAGGCTATACTTGGCAAAACCGAATTTGTCTCTTTTAGGAAGTTTAGGTCAGCGTGTGGTTCCCTTGCAGACTTTGTAGTAGAGATAAACGGTCTGTATACGGCAAGGTCATCATCTCTGCTGCGTATCTATATCGATTCCGTCAACCAAGAAACCCAGAAAAAGGCATCAACAAGGGATGCGCCAAGTTCATACAATTAAGTAAGGAAAGCTGCTCCAGGCGTCTCCAAGGTCAGCAACAACAACTTCAGTTAAGGCCTCGCGCGTGGTTGACCGCTTTGGAGGTTCACTTGACAAAACGGGCGGCAGACAATCGACACCTTCGATTATCGCTAATAGTTTCTGATCAGGAAGCCGATATATCTAAAGAGTTGTATTAGACGTGTCTAGGTTCCACACTAGAAGAAAAACGGTACAACTTCATTTGCTCGAAGTTACTGCGTAACTCACAAATAAACGACAATCCTGGGTCATTAGGAAAAGAGTCATGTTTCTTTGAGTCAACTCGTTCGAGGTTGCACTGATAGAGAAGATCCCAGTTTTGTCGAAGTACAAGCAGCACGAGGTCCACTTTGAATTCGCCATCTGTTCATTCAATTCGACTTCATCGAGATCTCCGCTATCGTCTGCTTGAAGAAGCAATAACGTTGAATCATCGCGAAGTATCGCGACGTACGGATCCACAATGCTAGTGCTAATGGCCATCCGTTCTTCGCTAGTATCTTCGTCCCATACAGGATAGATCTGAGCCAAGCCCAAGTCTATTTAATTAAATTACTTTCGTCGTGTAGACACTATCAGGAGGGTAAACTCACCACCATCATAGCTTCGAACTTCATTTCTCAAGATCTGAACCACTCTGTTTTTGCTCGTTAGCGTTGCAATATCAATGGTAACATCCTCGTTTGGGTTGAATTCCGGGGCTCGGAACGGCCTCAGTTCCTGTCCTTGCACCCGGAAAACTTCAGACTGTTCCCTGTCGACACTCGTTGCTTTTGAGACAACAACATAATGATGACATTCTCGTTTTTCAACTTGCGTGGCGTTCTTAGATACGGCTTCTTCCCTGTGAGCTACAGATGCTGTCCAGACACAACGGGCCGAGTCTGTTCTCATGGAATTGAGCACTTGGAGCTCGAGCCCGCGCTTCATAACAGCCAGGCCACCACTTCTATCCCACCCCTGGGAAGCTACCAATTCCAGGCCCGAACCATTGCCGGCATTTTCTTCCCCATCAAGGCTTGTGAAAGATCTTCCGAAAGTAATATCTTTCAAAGGTCCAATATTCAAAAGTCTGTCGTATTCCCGAAAGTTGTACAGGCTAGAGCCGGACGGCTCTGCAGAGGGACGACGACCGTCTACCATGACTTCTGGCACCGTAGCATAAAGATCATCTTCATAAACATCATCTTCACTCTGATCTTCGTCAGAAAATCCCCCAGAATCCTCTTCCGTATGCCTTGCCTGAGGTCGGGGCTTCTTAGTGCCTGAGGATGGAACTGACCAGCCTAGAAGTATTGAATCGGCATCTTCACTTCCCAAAAAAACTCTCTTATCACCAAGAAAAGCAGATGACGAAGCAGCGGATTTCACAATGTCTCCACCGGCATGTGGAGGAACTGGATGAATTGAGATACCCGACACCGACCTGCCGTCTAGCCTAAATTTGACAAGGACTAAGTCGCCGGTGCTTGGTACCAAAAGTAAGTCTCCATTGGTTTCAGAGAGGCGTTCAACGATGCAGCCTTCAAGGCGAAGTGCTAGGTCTGATTGATCCGTCATTGAAAAAGACGAAACCTGCCTAGAGAACTCATTAACCCCCACTGCATTGGTCTTCCCTGCCTGGTCAACGTGGACAAGCTCGTTAGACCCAATGAGCAGGGCACCTCCGACAGGAGGAGGAAGGGCTACCACTTTAAACAAGTCACTAGGCAATCTAGACACGGAAAGTAGGATCGTTGACGCTCGCTGCTCTAGGTCCAGTGTGAAAACGGTATAGAAAACAACATCTTTCCTTTCATGAAGAAGCGCATTAGACGTAGCAACCTGCGAATACAAAATACCAAATGTCGGCTCCCTATATTCATATAGAAAAGCAAGACTTATGGGGTGCAGTATTGATGGATCCAACGTCGCCAAAGGGAGCACAAAAGAAGACGTGTACGGCGTCCCATGCGCAGTGCTTTCTTTGGTTAAATCACAATCAGTGCCACTTTCTGGCCCATGGCCGCCAAGTCTCTGCTCGTCAAGTTCGCCATAATCATCCATCACCAGGTCATCCCCAGGCTGGTGGAAAGGAAGGATAGCGAGATTCCGGATCCCGAAGTTGAAAACCGCACATCTACTGCTTGGGTCCACACTAAGGATGCTGCCGCAGCTTCTCAAATCAGGTACCCATGGGCTACTAGTCGAATCATCCCGTTCATAATAATGGATAGAGGTTGTGCAGATGCCATACCGTCCCGGGTCCCATTCGATCAAAGCAAGTTTCGCGTTTCGGAAGGCAAGCAAAATGGCTTCACCGCCACTCTTGGTATTCAAGAGTTTGACTCGACATAGATCTGTTACCGTTCCTGGAAGAGTATATTCCCTCTCCAAGATCAACTTTGAGACACTCTGCTCTTCGGTGCCTCCAGGTTGAGGGCCAACATTAAGCAAAGAAAATATCTGGAAACGAGAAGTTCTAGCAACCACCAAGTTGTTCGCTGATTCAGAGATAAAAGGAAGTGCCAACGAATGAGTGACCCCAGTGGGAGGCAGGAGCTCAGTATAGCACTGCATTTGGTAATCAAAATCAACTGAGAGATGCTCAAACCTCCCTCTTGTTCCTCTGCTTATGTTTCTGTCTCTTCAACTGACTTTATGCAAGAAAAACCATTTCTTAAATAATGTAAAAGCAGAAAACCCGAGCTGGAATTAACTAAGTTATTCAGTGCAAATGACTTTATTCCAAGACTCTGAACAACAAGCGAAGCTGCTTGGTGCTATTTATGTACATCAGGGACATCGCCAAAACCTTGGAGCTACGGGAGTAACACGTGATCAACCCCAAGCTCCACGATGCGATGACGTAAGACGCGTTAGAACTTCTTCGCGATGCCGTCTCTGATATTCTCTTAATATAATCATCTCAATTTCAGGTATGTTATAGCAAGAGTTTAGTATTCCTTGTGATTGTTGCATATATTTATCGTTAGGTACTCATGTATTCTCAACAGTTCCTTGTAATCGCTTCTTAACTTCAACCCTCGAACGGAGTTTTCTCCCATGTGAGATCCAAGATCCAACAACATGGCGCTCCTGCAAACGTCCCTTATTTGGGCTGTATATGCAATTGTGGTAGCTATATTGGTTGCAGTGGCCTCTGTATTTATCTATGTTTACCAGACCCCTCGGGATCGCTGTCCATCGGTGATACTGACCTGTATCGTTGCTGTCACCACCCTTCTTGCAACTGTTCTCTTGGTACCAGTCGACGTTGCTCTGGTCTCATCTACGAATTCTCCGGCTCTGGGTCGGCGACAGGACTGGGCTACTCAAAAAGAAGTAGATAGGATACTATTGTGCTTGAAAGTTGCGTATTACTTCCTATACTCTTTGGACGCCCTCCTCTGCCTCATTGTGATTCCTTTCATTTATTTTTGGTACGAAGAGTACGACGAAGTGGCATCCGACACAGGAGAACAGTCACTTGGGCAGCGGTTTTGGGCGGCTTTTAGATACACAGTCTCTTTCATTGCGATAGTGGTTGTGCTGTTTCTCGTTGGGTTCTTCGCGCCTGTTGCGAAAGATGGGAATGGTGATGGTCTGGATTATTTCAAAAACCTACTGACCCAAAGTCGTAAGCTTGGAACTCCTTCTAATTATTGTTCCTTCAGCCGGTATATCATGTACCATGGGGTGCTGTCGCTAATAGGTTCCTACCGCAGGTGGCGAACGTGCCCTTACATTTGCTCTTGGTTTGCTGATAACCATAGGTCTGTGCTTTTATGTTCTATATACTTCCACAGGTCTAGCTCTACTCCCAATTACCTTAATCAAAGAAGGCCCGTCAGTTTCAAGTCCGACATTGAAAGCGACTACAGCTGTTCAGCTTGGTTCTAATCGGGAACGACAGCGCCAGTTAGAAGGTCGCTGCAGAGGTAATCCGGGACTTTTGTCGTCAAAAGACCGTAGAGAGCTCGATACTCTTGTTAGGGAAGAACGAACGCTTATCCGTCGACAACGCTTGGCGGATGAAGCTGGGGGTAAAGACCAAACCCGGTTAATGCGGTTGTGGCTGAAAATTGAAGCTATATTCCGTCCATTCCGGCTCCTATCCGGCGTTGTTCTTTTACTTGTTGCGCTTATCCTATGGATATCCATGCTTTTGACGGCGATCGACAAGGCCAAGAACTCGTTCTGCAAACAACGATGCGGATACATTCTTGGACATATCAATGTTTTCAACCCCATCAACTGGGTTCTTGTTCAATCCGCCAAAGCATTCCCAGTGGACTACATCATTTTCACGATGCTTGTCTTATTTCTATTCAGCAGCTCCATCGTCGGCGTTTCTGCAATTGGCATCCGATTTCTCTGGATCAAAATCTTCCAAATCCGAAAAGGCCACACGTCACCCCAAGCTCTTTTGTTAGCAACGGCTATGTTGATGTCGATCATACTAGCTTTAAACTATTCAACATCGATAATACTTGCTCCTCAATACGCAACTTATGGGCCCCAAACCTTCTGTGACCGAGAGCTCGCCTTTCCTGAAAAACAGCCAGATTGTTCAGGTGCTAAACACCTTGTTAGGCCATGCTCTGAGGTGGCAGATAGTTTGGCCGCCAAGCAAGTCTGCACTCCAAGCGTTGCCAGCACATTTCTTAACCGTGTGACGATAAATTTTCCCTTTTTCGGTGCCATTTTCTTCTGGGCCCAATTCGCTTTCTTAGGTAGGAATTCTTTACCTCTCTCACATCATTTTAACCAGAGGCTCTAACGAGTCATGTGATCAAGGTATCTATCTATTCGTGATGGTCACCGCTCTCTTGTGCTCTCCGAAATTGGACGAGCGGCAGCTCGATGAGGATGCTGAAGAGGCCGAAGAGGAAAGCTTACTAACAAGCACTGGAGGGCAGATTGACACTACCTGGCAGGGCATCACTAGTAGGCTGAGAAGGCAGGATGACGTTGGCCGAGCCGGAACTTAGGGTTACTGTAGGGATATTTTACTTCCTTGCATCATTACTCCCCCATTTTTTTATTTCTTTTGTTTTTCTACTGTGAGTGACAGCAGAAGAAGGGAGAGTGGACTGCCAGTTGGTTGTGGCCATATTTGTATAATGTTTGGTAACAATAAGGGGGATCACACCCTGCTAGGTCCGCTAGGTAATTGGTTTCGGTAATACCTATTAACAATCCTAGAAGACAGAAAAAATAAGACTGGAGATAAAGTTATTATAGATAACCACTGCCTTCAGGGTCTTATGCGGTCGTTCAGAAGCGCAAGAGCGCTTTCGAATGCCTTTACAACATCGACATCTACCTGAAGAGTTAGAATCGCATTGTCACTTCGTAGGAAAGTATTGATAACGTACAGTGCTTCCGTTTTTTCTCTAAATCCTCCTCCGAGTTCTGTACGTGCTGCATTTGCGTTTTGAATCTATCAAGATTAAATAAGCCTCACATCATAATACAACCTCGTACGTTTAATCGAACCTCTTTAGCGCTCTAGCTTCATCACGAACAACCGTGGTTTGAGACCACGCCATGAAAACCTATAACAATGACATAATTGTTAGAGGATGTCTTCCCAGACGGAGTACGATAGAGGAACCTCAAGCAGCTTCGAGATCTGAGCTCGCAAGTCTTCTTCAGCTGTTCCGTGTTTCTCCATCGCGTTGGTGTAAGCTTCCTGGAGACGCTCCCAGTCGTGATTTGTAAGATCTTCGGATGACGGGGTCAAATTCCTTGGGACTTCATACACGCCGGTGCTCCGCTTTTGTCGAAGCAATTGTGGTAAGTACTGAGTAGAATCATTCTTATCCGCCGGGTCCATGTTTAGTGGAAGGGCTCACATATGAGCTGATTTACCACCCCTTGGAAGTGCAATGGCTGAAGAATTTGGGCCTCGATTCAAGAGAATCTCCAGAAGCGAATACATAGGTTCATGGATGGAGCTCAAGAGTATTGCTAGTGTCACGAGTAATTTAAAGTTAGGAAGTGGACGATTGCTCCAGGCGGGAGTGGGCTGTCGCAACCAATTAAAGTACAGCCTCAACAATTTACTACTACTAGTAGTACTAGTAGTACTCCCTACTAAAGTACTGAGTAAGTAGTAGATACAGATCACCACTAACAGGGAGACAACTAGAATACGAGATCTAACATATATAATTAAGTTTAAAGTTTTATCATTGCTACCAGCGGCTTTGCTTCTTTTTCTCCTTCGTGGATACTATCACAAGACAAATACTATGTACTACTAGGAGTAGTCTGGCCCGGGACCACTAGTCAATTTATATTGCCGAAAGCGGGAAGTGATGTCGCGTCACTATAAATCTGCCACATCTGGCCGCCTCACCGGTAGCCTCCAAGGCCCTGCAGTTCCATACTTTTCACATCACACATAATATTGGATCAAAACTTAACTCTTGGGATGAACTGTCATGTATGCTCTCGTGCTCCAACATCACGACTTAGATATATTTGCCCTTCTTGTGCCCGCAATCAGCTCTATCAACTCCGAATCGAAAATGCCAGGATTCTTCTAGAAAATGAGTCCTTGGAACAACAGATTAATAACGCAGTGTCCTCTACAAATACTCTTGAAGCATCATCGGACCGGCCTGAATCCGGACTTTCCAGTCTCAAAGATGAGGACCACATAGCCTGGTCTGTCCAGATCATCGCCAATGAGAAAGCCAAATCCTCTTTGAGGAGAAAGCTACTTGAAAGTCGGACAGAGAGCTTACGGCTGGAAATTAAAAACAAAAAACGCAACATTTACGAACATAAGCTTATGCTAGCGCAACGTCGCTCGGATGCAGGATCCGCAAAGTATCAACTTGTGGAACGTGAAGCAGCCATTTTATCTGGCATTCATAACAATGCCAAAAGAACGGACCACTTATGGCACTCACTACACAGTAAAACCGCTGAGGCGCGGATATTTCTATGCCGCGAAGCCGCCTGCCTTTACAATCTACGGCAGAAAGTCAAAACGAAAGATGGTGAAGTTAAAGAGGCATATACAGTCGGTGGCATACCTATCATAGATCTTAGGGACATGAATGGAAAGTTGCGATGTTTACTTTGTTAAATACTAAGCAGGTATTAATGGAAATACAGGTGCTACACCGTTACAAATCTCAACGTCATTCTCCTACATTGCTCAACTCCTAGTACTTGTTTCGCATTACTTATCCCTAAGGCTTCCTGCAGAGATCACACTTCCTCACCGGAATCATCCTTCGCCTACCATATACGCACCCTCTGGGTCTTACCTCTTTCGTGAGATGTTGCCCACATCAAGGACGTTGCAGCCCTCGCCTTCTATTTCAGCATCGTTACGAACAGCAGATCCGCGGCCTTACTTACCCCGAGCCCGACCACTCTCCGTTGACAGAAGTCTCCCAAAACTAGCCAAGGAGGATCCTGGGACCTACGCTCTCTTCATAGAGGGGGCGACGCTATTGGCTTGGAATATCTCCTGGCTTTGCCGAACGCAAGGGCTCCACATAACGTCAGATTCCTGGGAGGATGTTTGCAGCATTGGAAAGCATATGTGGCAGCTACTTGTTGCACCTCCCGCACAAACATCAACACTCGTTCGAGCATTCGCCAGTCGAGACATACAACCAAAGGTGAAGATTACGAAGGACTCACCCAAAACAATCATCCAGCGGACAAAGTCATTCCCTATGCTAGGTCACTACTCCCATGGTACTGTGCATTCTTTCCTCGCTGCTTCGGAGGGTACGGAGTTCACGCGTACATGGAGGCTTCCAACTCCGACTAAAGTTGCAGACAAATTAAAGTCAAGTTTGTTAGGTGAAATGGCCAGTGCGGAATGGGAAGTTTTGGAGAAGAAGGAATGGGATAACATACCTGAGGCGCCACTGCAACCTGTTCAAGAATCCTCAGTCAATCGGGAAGGCGAGAAGGGTGAATTAGATGTGTCAAACATGGAGCCATCGGAAAATATTCGTGCTAGTCCAGGGTTTCCAAATGACCCTATAAGCTCTAATCGGCTCAAAGGGACTAGTGGTTGGACTAAACTGAGAAACAGGTAGTTAGTAAAGCCACCCGACTGCACATACAACAGAGTGAGCTAGTATCGCTTTCCAGCAATGCAACTTCATGGGGTTTTTTTAATTTTATTTTCATTTTTTCCTTTTTAGAGTACTATAAACACATAGTATTTAAAGTGCTTTGAGTGGTAACTTGCATTGAATGGTAACTAACTAACGTTAGTGACACTAGTGACTGTTACTAAGCAATAGGAAATTGATCGATAAGATAATATGAAACTACTGTAGCGTGTCCATTTTTATCTTCACAGCGTTCCAAGTTACAGCATGTCCTTCTACCCAGCGTGGGAGCCCCGTTCACGTAACAAGCCTCTACATACTTCAACATTATCGTGAAACATCGAATATTCCCTTATATTTATCTATTATCTAGTTCCGGTATCTCAAACTGTTGGTTAGTCGGAGAGCGATAACCCTTCTAAAATCTGGATTGATAAGCCGGAAATTTCAGAGCTTGTCCTAGGTCATGGATCTGATTTCAATCCAAGATTACATAAGGTCTACAGGAAAATGAATGAATTCACAAGGTGGCAGCGAGATGGCTTGGGAAAATTTAGTGAGTTTTGGAGAAATAAAATCAGCAACCATTTCAAATACGCTTTCTACCTTCATGATTGGAAGCTTCACATGAAGGATCACCTTTACTGATCCAAAACTCTTATAGACATCGAAAGCGCTGTTGAACTGAGCGCATATATACCTGATACAGTCCTGCGGGCGGAACTACGCCGAAGAAGCGGAATCAGAGACTCTGACAATGATAAGCCATTGTGTGGCTCAAAGGATCGAGGTGTTTACAACACCCCAGTACATGTAATGGCACTTTTCCTCATTTTAGCGCTGAGTACCTTCGGTATGTTCATCTATCGAACAAAGCGCGGCTAAATATTCTCTAATTTCTCTCACGAAGCTTGTTCATTTCCTGTACTTGCCCGTCGGTTCCCACGCCTACCAATACCACGGCGCTTTCTTTTTCTTTCCAGGCATTTTGGGACAGGTGTATTGATAGCTACGGCCTTCGTCCATTTACTCCCCACAGCGTTTGTGTCCCTGACAGATCCATGCCTTCCTCGATTTTGGAGCGAATCATACCGTGCTATGGCTGGTTTTGTCGCCATGATTTCCGTCTTTGTTGTGGTGGTGGTAGAGATGTTTTTTGCCATGAAAGGAGCAGGCCATGTTCATGGGAGTGAGTATGACCATTTGATTAGTGATGTCGGTGGGGACACTGCAAGCAACTATCAAAATGAGGGTTCCGAATATTTACAAGAGTCAACGGAGAATATTCACCTCGAGGGCATGCCGAACGGAAGCTGTACACGTAGCCTGCCGCAATCCTCCCGTCACCTGCTGAGTGACTCAACAGACGACGGTAGTCTGTCACAATCTGCGAGTTTGATTGCGCAAAAAGAGGATGTAGGGGCTAGCCTTGAGGGACCAGACTCTTATGATGAATCACGTACGAATGCGCATCAAAGCCCTTATCCGCACTCCGAGTTGGGTCGGCCTTCGCCGGTTATATCGCGTGAACAGCCGAACGCCTTGTCCATACAGAACCCGCAACGTCAGTTACTCCAGTGTCTTTTGCTCGAAGCTGGAATACTCTTTCATAGTGTTTTTATTGGCATGGCCCTTAGTGTTGCAACAGGGACGTCATTCATTGTACTACTCGTGGCCATCTGCTTCCATCAGACTTTCGAGGGTTTTGCTCTTGGCTCACGTATTGCATCACTTATTCCGGACCTTTTTGCCCCATCCTCCATGAAGCCATGGCTCATGTCACTTGCATATGGGACTACAACACCCATCGGCCAAGCCATCGGTCTTATTTTACATAACCTATATGATCCAACGAGCACTACTGGTTTGCTTATGGTTGGTATTACGAATGCGATAAGCAGCGGGCTTCTGCTGTTCGCTGGGCTAGTTGAGCTTTTGGCTGAAGACTTTTTGAGTGAGTCAAGCTACGCAACCTTACATGGTCGAAAGCGCGTTGAAGCATGTATAGCAGTTGCCTGCGGGGCTTTGTTAATGGCGTTAGTTGGTGCATTTGCCTAGAAAATGCCTAATCCAGTCTGCTTTCATTATGCTGTGTTAGTGCAAGCCCTGAAAGCTTGTATGTATGCCTAATCTAATGCTTTATATGATAATAACTATCCCATTCAACCTTTCTTGTTAAGCTCAAGTGCTCACTGTAGCCCTTACTATACATATGTTATATGCATTGCATGATCAACGTTTGTCTTTATACTTCACTCGGTCCTTTGACCCTTTCTCTCCATCAAGGTGAAGAAGGATATGATAGAGTGGTTTGGAGAGTAAATGAACTTATTCACGAAGCAAATAGCCATCTGAGTAAGCGACATAAAAAGTACTTATTATCATCGTTCCAAAGTCAAGTCTACTATTATAGCTTATCATATATAGAGTTAGGTAGATTTTGACCACGGTGAATCCACCGTAGAAATATCCTATACCCCAGAGTAAACAATCAATTCAACCCGTTGAAAAGAATCTCGAAATAGGCAGCATAACTCAATATCCACAGCATTCTGAAGTTCTGAATGGTTACCAATGATCTACCATTTTTCAAGTCTACATAAAGTAGGTGTTTCATGATTCAATAACTTACCTGAACCGTAAGCTTAGAAGAGCCTCGACACAGATCACTAAGCCTATTATACTACCCCTAAACGCGAAGAGAGGGGGGGGTTGACAAGACAAGGTAATTACTTTTGAGAACTTCCAGCATTAAATTTAGATTTGAGAATTCTTCGCCCCATATAGCAAAGCTTTAGCAATCAAAAGATGTCTATGTACTCCAAGTTTTCCTTTCATGTGCTGCTGGTCTGAATATTCCTATATTCCATACCAAAATCATGGGCAACTCGCCATGACTCAGACGAGAGATTCGACAACAATGGCGCTAGCACCACCTCCTCCATTGCAAATCCCAGCACAACCAATCTTACCCTTTTTCGCTTTCAATACACCGAGCAATGTAGTCAAGATACGAGCACCACTAGCACCGATAGGATGGCCGATAGCCACTGCACCACCATGGATGTTGACTTTGTCTTCAGCCAACCCCAGGAGTTTCATATTGGCCAGAGCAACTACGCTAAACGCTTCGTTAATCTCGAACGCATCAACAGCATTCTGCGCCACACCTGCATGGGTGAGGGCCTTGGGAATCGCCAGTGCTGGGGCAGTCGTGAATTTGCTCGGCTGCTGGGCAGCATCTCCCCAGCCAAGAATCTTCGCAACAGGCTTCAGGTTAAGCTCTTTCAGTTTAGCTTCTGAGACGAGGACAACAGCTGCAGCGCCGTCGTTAAGAGGTGAGGAATTCGGGGCTGTCACCGTGCCGGATCCTGGGATAAATGCAGGCTTGATAGCTCGAAGCTTATCTGGGTTGAGCTACACAAATAATATATTAGCGGTGGCCCACGATTTAACAAATCTGTAGAAAGTAATATCTTCCTCACATTCTTTGGTTCTTCATCGTGTGCCACAGTCACACCTGGCTTGCCCCTAAAACCAGGAAGTTCAATAGGCGCAATTTCTTCATCAAAAAAGCCAGCCTTTTGAGCTGCCTGTGCTTTCTCGTAAGTGCGAATGGCATAGTCATCCTGTTGTGCTCTGCTAAAGCCATGATCCTGGGCACACTCCTCAGCTTGCAAGCCCATGAGTTCCTGCTTTCCTGCATCTGTCAAACCATCCTTCATGATGCCATCCACCAGACTCTGGTTGCCGTATTTCGCACCGGTGCGAAGGTTTGGAAGGTAATGAGGGGCGTTAGACATGGATTCAGCACCGCCTGCTACGACAATATCCGCATTGCCAGTCATGATAGTCTGCGCACCGAGAATAACCGCCTTCAAGCCAGACGCGCACACCTTGTTAACCGTGGTACACACAGTTGACTCATCGAGACCAGCGCCGAGAGCACACTGTCTAGCAGGATTTTGTCCAACACTAATTCATAGAATAAGAATGTAAGCGTGCCTTTGGTGCTGGTTGAGAGGTATAAGAGTAGATGTTGACTCACTTTGCGGAGATGACATTGCCAAAGAAGACCTCCTGGACATCAGACGGCTTGATTCCATCCGCCTTGCTGAGCGCAGCTGAATTTTGACTTTGTTAAAACATTGACACGTACCACCACTCGAGAGCTGTCATACCTTTGATGGCATGGGACCCAAGCTGCGGGGCAGTGAGACTTGAAAGCGAGCTGTAGAAGAGGATAGCCAGTGAGTCAATGCTTTTAGTATAGACAAAGCACCAGGCCAACCTCACCCCAAGAATGAGCCCACTGGGGTACGGGCAGAGGAAACAATATAGACCGGCGGAAGAGAAGACATATTGGCCTGCGAGAGCTGATTAGAGGACTCAAGCCAAAGGCTTATGTCGGGTGAAGCGTTTAAAGGGGTTCTGTACGTGGTAAGGGGGACGTACCTGTGTTGACAAAATCTGCTAGCAATAGAGAAAATTGACTGGGGAAAACAGGTAAAGAAGGGGGTAAAAGGTAAGAACTGATTTCTTCAGCCGAGGATGGCAGTGTGGTATCTCTGATACAAGAACAAGTGGTGAGAAATTACGTCCTTTAAGGACCCCTCTCTAGGCACGGCATCCGCGCAGCGGGGCTACCAAGATGGTAGGGTGAATGCACGGACCACTTGGTGAGTCCATTGACTTCCAGCAGCTTGAAACAAAAAGAGATGCGCGCCGGCTCACTTGGTGACAAGTTTTGACAGCTTGAACCATCTTTTCCACAACACAATGGATGATCTCTATGATGAGTAAGTCGCATCAAATTTAGCGCTCTAATTTTGTGAATTCTCATTAAGACCGCATAGGTTCGGCAACTATATTGGAGAGGCTGCAGATTCAGATGAAGAGGGCCAGCACGAAGAAGTGAAACCTCGAGCTTTCAACCTCGACGAGGCATTTGGAGAGGAGGAAGATGAAGATACCTTTGAACAGCAGTCCATGGAGGTGGATGGTGGGTACTCTCTTAAAGCCCTGGATTTGGCCAGCACTGATATATACCGCTACAGAAGGTCCATCAAATGCCGTAATTCTACACGAAGACAAACAGTACTACCCTAGCGCGCAACAAGTCTACGGTACAGAGGTAGAGACCTTGGTTCAAGAAGAAGATACACAACCTCTCTCAGAGCCTATTGTTGCCCCCGTACAGCAAAAGAAGTTTTCCATTGAAGAGACTGACCTCCCTCCGGTTCACTTCTCAAGAGAATTCATGACTGATCTTCTGAATTTCCCTGAGCAAATAAGAAATGTTGCGCTTGTTGGTCATTTACATCATGGAAAGACCGCTTTCATGGATATGCTTGTAATGCAGACGCATGATTTGACTGAACGGCTAGAGAAGCGAGCAGGTAGGAGAAAGGAAGAACAGCTTCGCTATACCGATATTCACTTTCTAGAGAGGGAGCGAGGCCTCTCTATTAAATCAGCCCCTATGAGCCTAGTTCTTCAAGGCACTAAGGGGAAGTCTCATTTGTTCAACATTCTTGATACCCCGGGGCATGTGAATTTTGTGGATGAAGTAGCTGCCTCATCACGACTAGTTGATGGTGTGGTCATAGTCGTTGATATTGTGGAAGGAGTACAGTCGAATACTGAGCAAATCATTAAGCACGCTGTGTTAGAGGGCATTCCCTTGACCATGGTTGTGAACAAAATGGATCGGCTGATTCTCGAACTAAAGATACCACCCAACGACGCCTATTTCAAGCTCAAGCACGTAATTGAAGAAGTCAACACTGTCATTGAAAATGTCTTGCCTGGACAAGGCGAACAATGGCGACTAAGCCCGGAAAAGGGCAATGTCGCATTTGCGTGCGCTTCAATGGGATGGTGTTTCACTCTTCAATCATTTGCCAGGATGTATGCGGAGAATTACCCTCAAATTGAGACCTCGGATTTTGCCCTGCGTCTTTGGGGCGATATCTTTTTCAACCCAACAAGCCGGAAATTCACGCGGAAGGGGGTCGAAGAACATTCTAAGAGAACTTTTGTCAAATTTGTTCTTGAGCCAATATACAAGCTCTATTCCCACGCCATAAGTGAAAGTCCAGAAGACTTGAAACAAACACTCGCAAGTGTCGGCATCCACTTGAAGCCATCCCAATTGAAATCAGATGCAAAGGAGCTACTCAAACTGGTTTGCGGACAGTTCTTCGGTCCTGCTACAGGGTTTGTAGACATGATAGTACAACATGTACCTTCTCCAGTTGAAGGCGCGCAGATGAAGCTGGACCGATACTACACTGGACCCCTCGATTCGAAAGTGGCAGCCGCTATGACCACTTGTAATGCAGATGGTCCTCTCGTTGTCCATATCACGAAACTTTTCACGAGCACAGACGCTTCAAGTTTCAATGCATTTGGAAGAATTATGAGCGGGACTGCTCATCCTGGGCAACAAGTTCGAGTGCTAGGTGAGGGTTATACTCCTGAAGACGAAGAAGATATGGTGACTGCAACTATATCGGACATGTGGATTGCTGAGACTGGCTATAACGTCACGACCAGCGGTGTTCCGGCCGGCAACTTGGTTCTCTTGGGTGGCGTGGACAATTCAATCGTGAAGACAGCAACTATCGTGCCTCTGAAACTTGAGGATGACGAAGAAGCATACATATTTAAACCAATTCGACATATGACCGAGTCTGTTTTCAAGGTCGCTGTTGAACCTGTTAACCCGTCTGAATTACCAAAAATGCTTGATGGTCTCCGTAAAGTCAACAAGAGCTATCCTCTAATTTCAACCAAAGTCGAGGAATCTGGGGAGCATGTCATCTTGGGAACCGGTGAGCTCTATATGGACTGCGTACTTCATGACTTGCGACGGCTCTTCTCCGAGATGGAAATTAAGGTCTCCGATCCTGTCACCCGCTTCTGTGAAACTGCTGTTGAGACTTCAGCCATCATGTGTTATTCTATCACGCCAAACAAAAAGAACAAGATAACCATGATCGCAGAACCTTTAGATGATGGAATCGCTGAGGACATCGAGAGCGGCAAAGTCAGCATCAAAGATCCAATTCGCAAAGTTGCACGTTTTTTCGAAGACAAGTACGATTGGGATAAACTAGCCGCTAGAAGCATTTGGGCCTTCGGCCCAGACGAACTAGGGCCAAACATATTACAAGATGATACCTTGCCATCCCAGGTTGATAAAAAGCTTCTTGGAAGCGTCAGAGACTCTATTACTCAAGGTTTTAGTTGGGGTACGAGGGAAGGTCCACTTTGTGAAGAGCGTAAGTTAACTAATTCTAAACCCATTCAACCCGAAGCAGCATGGCACCGAGCTTGAACTATATCTATTCATCCGGTACTTGTTTATGCTAATTGGCTATAGCAATTCGAAACACGAAATTCAGGCTCACAGACGTCTCCCTTGCCGACCAGGTGATCTACAGAGGTGGTGGCCAAATCATTCCCACTGCGCGACGCGCAATCTACTCATCGTTTCTCATGGCATCTCCTCGCTTGATGGAACCCATCTATTCCTGCACGATGACAGGGCCTGCGGATGCAGTCGCTTCAGTGTATACTGTCCTTGCGCGCAGAAGAGGCCATGTCCTATCCGATGGGCCCATCGCCGGAACACCGCTTTATTCAGTCCGTGGCCTAATTCCAGTGATAGACTCATTCGGGTTCGAGACAGATCTCCGGATTCACACCCAGGGCCAAGCTGCAGTTAGTCTTGTCTTCGACAAATGGAGTGTCGTTCCAGGGGATCCGCTTGATCGTGATGTCAAGATAAAACCACTAGAGATGGCCCCTGCAATGGCCACTGCTCGAGACTTCGTGCTAAAGACAAGAAGACGGAAAGGCTTGGCGGAGGATGTCACCGTAAGCAAGTTTTTGGAACCAGAACTCTGGAAAGGTCTAAAGGAGAGTGGCGTTTTAGACTCATGACCAGTTTATCTCTGGAGTTCAATGGTATGCCATAAATTCCAGGTAGTTATATGTTTGGATGTAATAAAAGAATGACCGAGTATCCTTGTGAAGGCAGTGCCAAGTGATATATATTTATGAGCGCTCTTGTCGCGCTACTTTTTAGCCTGCCATATAGCTCACTGGCATGTCTCTAGCATCTTCGCGATAACGCCCATTAGTGTTCCATTTTCCAAAGCAGCGGCCACTCGTTCTTTGTCCGCCAGCTGCTTGTTAACTTCATCAGCAGTGCTGTGTGTCCCTTCTTTGATTCGCACATCCACACGAAAGCGGGGAGGAAGAGATTGCTCAAGCCGAACACGTACACCGAGACCTATGACTGTGGCGAGGCTACAGTGCGTGATAGTAGGGGTGATGAGGATAGTAACTGTTCGAAGGGGCGAAGCTGGTACATATGAGAGAGTTGGTGTAATAGAAATATCAGGGAGAGACACAACCGCTAGAGCTCCTAACGATATCGGATGCTCCGGATCAGATATAGTCGATACAAGATCTAGTGATTAAATCAGTGGTTTTGCTTGACGTTTCTTTCGCAAGTAGTCACGCCTTACCGTAGATTTCTTGTTCATCTATTGGCTCTTCCAACAGATCATCATCACTTTCTGACTCTGACGATGAAGTAAAGTTATCTATGAAAATTTCTCTCGCATCCACAGAAGGAAGAGCGGATGCGAAGAGACCATTCCCAAAAATACCAGGCTTGCGAGACAGTGCAGGCCGCAAGCGTGTTGGAAGATCAGCAGCATTCAATATTGTGGGATTCGAGTTCTGCATTTCGGATGCCATTTTGTGGGTGAACAGGTAGCTGACAGTCTTAATTGCTGAGTGGGGAATCAATCTAGGATACTCCGTACACATGTATGTTATCTAGAGGGGTAAATTCACTATGGGGATGGGGAACGGCCACGTGGAAAAATTATTTTCCCCTTATAAAATCTAGCGTACGGCTTTGATTGCGGAGCGCGAAGCGCTCTGCAATTATATAAAAGATCATAATCCATTTCCCAAGCTATTCTAGCATCCGGTAGTATCAACAATCGTTACTTACCATGGACAGCCCTTCAATGTCTCTTTGTGTGCATAACCGTTGAATACATCTTTCTACCTTTGACTCTCTTGGTTCCTACGGATAGAGGTATGTGATATAATATCAATAACGCCCATAAAAGATCGGGGGAGATTCTACAAAAGTCCCCACATGAAGGCCAAGCAAGTAGCGCAGGTGATATTGCTAATCCTTGGGACAATCTATCTGGTATATACATGGTGAAAGGCTTGTGTGATTATAGTCTGAATTCGAGGAGAGTGCCTTCAAAGTCATTTTCATGGATTATTGCTAGATACTAGTAGTAATGTTACTTATACCGTAAAACCCATACAACAACTACCTGATCGATCACACCGGTGTAACTGCCTGAAAATCATAGCAATAATCTTTCTACCAGCCATTGATACGGCTCGTATGGAATCATGATCCTCGTCAAGAAAGGGCTGGACTTGCATATCGTACATCCCAGACAGACTTGTGTACTAACCGCCATGGAGTGAGGGAATATTCCTCGGAGTGCTTATGAAGATAAGGACAAATTTGCTGAGAACTGCCCAGAAAGCAAGGTATATATATAGCATCAAGATGTTCAATATGAGGTATATCCTTGTTTTAGAGATAGGAACTTTTTCTTCAGCTTGAGGAGTCCTGCCAGTTATTCGAATCCTGCAACTAGTTACATCTACCCTATACACGGGCAGATATTCATCGGGCTCCAGAATACTACAATATCATTACAGTATACGGTTGTAGAGCAAAAGATATTATTAAATAATCTAGGGCAAAGTAGAGGAAGTAACCTGAGAACTAGTAGGCTTGGTGATAAGGCTAGCATACAACTTACTCCATGCTCTCTATAGAATCAACGAGTCATGGAAACTTGGCAGGGCATCATCATGATTCTTGGCACTTTCGGCGACTAAGTAGTAAGTACTGAAGAGCGGCAATCATGCGGCCCCTCAACATCCGAGGCGATCCTCTCCTCACCTGCGCCTAGGCCGGTTGACTCTTTTACTCGCACCCACTTCTTCTGGGGACTGATCGTGTTTATCCACCTTTTTATTTTATTGTGGTTGGTTTCACCATTGCCCTTTTCCATCATTGTTCGATATTTTCGATCCGTGTATACCATACTCTCTGGCTACTATGAGACGCCAGGCATCTATCAGCTAATCAGGGACGTAACGTCGGCGACGCGGCATGCGAAATTCATCGTATTGGTGGGCTCCTGATTCCCCTGATGCTAGATTGTACCGCGTCCTCCAGTGTCAAATATTGGACCGCCAGCTTCTGCTAGCCTCTGTGGCCTATTCTGCGTTATTCCATTACAGTATTTTCCGCACAGTCGCCCGAGGTCCGCACGTTTCATTCAAATGCTGACCGTAAATTGGGGGGTGATGCGCCGGCTCAGTTCGCTTTTCTATAGCAAATCCCAACAGAGAGTCTCAATACACTGACGGTGACAAGTCACGATGCAGGCTGGTTAAGCTTCCAGTCTCTCTATTGTAAGCTATTCTTAACTTAAACTGCCGTCTCCTTCCCCTTGTTTCATTGCTATTTATCAGCAGACCTTTTATCAACCTGTTGCTAAGCAAAGGCTGTGCGCATGGTCTCGGGGGAGATTATACTTGCTGGCACGTTGAAGCTTTATTTCACTTCTCAATGACTCCCTCATGGACTGCTTCCCCTCCTTATCCCCGCATCATAACTTTTAAGGCACGACTGACATTTCGCAGTGTAAGGCTAGGTTCTCTTCCCAAACGTTTGCGCTGTTCGCAAATCAATCGACTATTGTCCATTCAACCTCACACTAGATTGTTGCCATTAGCTTCACCTAATCAAAACCGCAGGCACCCTAATCACGATTGTCACGCCGCAAGTTTCGGGGACCCTTGAATATTTGACAAGTCGTTTCTTGGTTGCTCTAGTTGTGGTGGCAAGCTAGAACCTTTGTCGCTTTTGCGGAAATATAAAGTAAAGCCAAAACCTCAAATCATTGCGAGAGGGAAACCAGTCATCACCACGGGACATTGTTGTCCAGTTTTCTCCTCCAATTATTCCTTTCAGGCCTCCTCGTCGTCCCATAGCTCCTATCCTGCAAGGCGACACCAATTGCATCGGCGATTCGTGCTTGAGGAGAAGCAGAAACGCATTACAATTGACGACATATCAGGGAACAGAAACCACCATATACCTTGCATCATACCTTGCCCGAAGTTGGACGTGTTCACGACTCTTCCTTTAGCCCTCTCATCAACCTGTCAATCTGTCCTCCCTTCATTCTTTTTCATCTCTTATTTGTTTTGTTTTGTGTTGTGTGTGTGTGCGCGCGTGTTCAGATTTATCTAGACAAGGCAGGCCTTGGAGATAATCTTCAGGAGTTATTGTTATACCTATTGAGTCACTTGAACTTTGTGTGTTGAGGATCGCTCTTGGTTTCTATAATTCCGATCTGGAAATGCAGGGCTATTCATTCACGCCGCCGACGGGGCCCCCAAGAGAAGGCCACAAAAGTAAGGCATCAATATTGATCTATATCTCGATGAAGCGCAACAAAAATTCGATTGAAGCCAGTCACTGATAAACTTTAATCAACAGACTATGTATTCGTTGACGAACACAACAGACATAAAAGACTCAAGGGTATGTCACCCTCCTATGCTCAACGTCAAACTCCTATTCACTGAAACGCCTTCTAGTGATGCGAGCGTGTAATGGCTGCAGAAAGCGTAAAATCAAATGCGACGCTGCTACAACAAACACATGGCCTTGTTCGGCATGCACACGTCTTAAGTTAGTATGTGTACCTCCTACCGTTGGGCAGGACAACGAGTTCCCCACGGGGCAGGCTGTTGAGACCAACTCGACAGATGCCATTGGTGCATCGAATACAACGGAATCGTTCTCGTCCTTTTCCATGCCCCAGGGCTACAGAGACAGCGGCCAAGCTGCGGTGGGCAGTATACCTTCATATAGCGATGGAATGGGAATATATCATCAATTCACCCATTCTGCTTCCCACCAGCCGGGCATGTATGAAGTAGGATCACCTGCCATAGCGGTCTCGCATCATACCTACCAGCAACAGCAGATTTTCCCATCTCAGACGGGGAGCTTGGGGACTATAGAGAGCGGTGTATATGGTGATCACGAGCAGTCCACAGCTGAGGATCTTAGCGAAGTCCTTGGTGAACTCAAAATCGATGAGACTGGTATAGGTATGGTTTCATCCTAATTTCTGATTTAGGGGAGTCCGCTAATATAACAGATAGCGCCATATATAAGGCAGCAAAAGAAAGAGAAGGGCGAACCAGAGATCCCTGTACAAGATGAAGCAGAAGAGCCATTGCCCCCTCTCAGTACTGGTGCAGGCTCTACAATTCGCATTCCTCCCGAGCTTATGCCCTCCGGTGAAGAGGTCATGAACTACTTCAAGATCTACTTTGATGATATACACCCTTATGTCCCTGTGGTGCATCGATCGCATTTGTACTACCAGTGGCAGTATGATCGGAATTCGATTTCTCCCCTTCTGCTGGAGGCGTTGTTTGCATGCGCGGGAAGGCAGTCAGATGATCCAGCTCAGGGGGCACAGTGGCTCGCATTAGCGAATAGTAGGTTCCCTTACTTATGCGCGTTCCTTTCCCTTGTCTTCTTCGAATATGGTATTGTGTTTGATATACTGGTTTTGACTATGAGTTACATTTTTAGGGCACGAGTCAAGTTTTATGGATGTACCCCGCCTGAGTACAATCCAAGCACTGCTTCTACTTCTGAAAGCCCGAGAATCCGTACCAAAGAAAGGCTATTACTACCGCTCGTGGCAGACTGTTAAAACAATTGTTTCAATGGCTAAAGATTTAGAAATTGACGAACACTATAACACACATACAGAGCACAAACTCTGTGATCTCAACCCTATAGAGTGTTTGGTACAGACGAGAGTGTGGCAAGCCCTCCTGGTTGTTGAAGTAATGATTGGTGCACCACAAGGTATGTTACTAGTATTGGCGATATTGCTAGTACTAACGTTCAAAGGTCGATCGGATTACGGTGTAAATCCTGACACTGTTTGTATGGATCCTGCACTGGATATTAAAGATCTTGACCAGTTTGAAATCAATCGATCTAGACAATATTCCTTTTTTGTCCAGAATGCTCATCACATTCGTATCATCACTGATACATACCACAAGATCAAGAGGCAAAAAGACTGGGGGGCCAATCCAAAGTTCGTTGAGAAGAACCCTCTCTTCACTGATTGGCTCCAGGGTCTTCCTTCGGATTTACAGATTAGCTATCCTCCTGACGGCTCACCCCCGTGGATACCGTCCCACTTTGTGGCTAATATGCATTCTCATTGCCATCTGGGCATTATTCTACTACACCGACCTCAGTTGCTTGCATCTAAATCCTTTGTCGCAGGCGGGGGGTGGAAAATGCACATGGCTTTGTGCTACTCTTCGGCTAAATATCTGTGTAGACTTCAAGAAGCTATCCTACAGCGCTTTGGCCTCCCAGGTCTGCTCTCTATGCAAAGAGGTATAAATTTTGCGATTTACTGCATCATGACTTGCACAATGTTGCATTTGGTACGTTTGTGTTCCCACCATACTAGGATCAAACAATTGACGCAAATCTCAGGTCGCGATAACCTCTCCTGATCCGAACTTCCACACAGACGCGCGCGATTATTTTGCCCGGCACATGCGTATCCTCGAGAGGTGCTCATCTGCCTGGCCGATGCCAGAAATGCAGGCTCAGATCGACTCCTTGCGGCTGGCTTTCTCAGCCGATGTGAATAGGCCCTTCGAGCTTAAACCCACCTTCCCTTATGGAAGTCCTTCGGAGCCATACCATCCGAGCCCGCCGCCTCTCGACTCACAATACCAACCTCATGTAAGTCAGGTTTCTGGCGGCGTCCGGGGTCGAGTGGGTTACAACCGTTATCCGGTCACCCCACCAATATCAGCTAGTACTGAAGATTCAAAGTCCGATTGCTCTCAGCTCCATTCTCTGGGGATGATGCCACCCCAGCCTGTCTCGAGCCAATCAATGAATGCCCCTCTCGTTGACGAGAATAGCTGGGATCCGACCCGTATCATCACGTGAGCAAGCCACAGAGAGTGATATAGATATTCTTTCAGACCCTTGCTGACGTTTCCTATCTAGCCAGTGGGACATGGCATTCTCCATGGCGCCATCCACAGTGAGTGCGAATTCTCCACCAATGGCTATGGATAATTCAGTTCAGGGGGTTCAAGCGCCTTTGGCAGGCCAATACCCTATCCAGTATGGGCAAACAACCAAGGTTACGCCAGTCACACCCCCTCAGGCTATCTCACCACCTCAATTCAATGGACAACAAGTACTCTTCACAGCGCGTGACTGGCAGCAGAGTGTCGCCAGTGTTTATGATCCTAACGGCTTGAAACGACGCTGGAATTATTCTGTTGATATGGGTACAGAGCACACTCAGAAGCGGGCACGTTAAGTATTCGTATATACACAGACACTGGGAACTAACTCGGTTGTTCTATACTTGGAGAAAGTGGCTGTATGAATGACTTGTGTGATATAGATATCTTCTTCGTTCTAAAATACCCCTCATCTTTATTTATCCTCTGAGCTTGTTAGCAAGAGCTTTAGCACTAACAGCGTGAACTTATGGATGTGCTCTCTGGCTGCCGTCATAGATATAGTATTGAACAATATATCCCAGTATTATCTTTGGTATTACGGTATAGAATACAATAAAAATAAATAGATATGCACTTAGTAATTTAGCACAGCAAAACACACCTCACTGCACAAAGATGTCACTGTTAATGAAGTTGATATACATGGAAATATTTATACCTTGCTTATTTACGGAGTAGAGGTATTCAATTGGGATTTTGAGAATACATATTTCTTCATCTGTAAATAGCCTGGGTCATAGATAAACCACACCTACTAACTCCCCAGCACCTGATATAACAGTTATACAGCAAGTGAAATGTATAACAGCTGCAAATATCATTGCCCAATACCACTCCTATATCATTTCATTATATGAGTTCCATGCATATGTTCAGGTGAAATATACGTACATCCGTAGTATGACGAAATACTTGGAGACATGCATTAAGTAGGACCATGGAGAGCGAAGACAACTTGACCATTTCTGTGAAGCTGGTAGAAAGATCTGTGAGGATATGCGAAAAGAAAACAATAAACCATGACACCAATCTGACTGTTGTTGAGTTATTGGATGACCCATAACAACTTGTCAGCTCAAGTGCGTCGACTTAACCCTATCCTCTCCTCCCGCGACCGGACAATTCTTGCCTTGTCGCCGGGTAAAGGTTTCAACTCATCGCTAGGATCAAAGTTGAGACTGTTTTTGTTGTGATCGTGGCCTTTATTCTCTTTGGCTAATTTGCGAAGTCGTGCGTCCTCAAATGTCGCGAGGTCTTCAGACGTTATTGCTATTGCTGTGGGCTTGCGGCGAAGCATTGTCGATATAGGTAGGAATACTGCCTGAGTTATTCTAATTGGAAATAGAAATGAACATTATTTAATATAAAGCTCCTTAAGTCCTGCGGAGGAAGTCACACCCGGTGATGGACATGAACTCCACGTGACCGATCTTGTACTTCGGGAAGACGACGAACATTTTTGTTACACTAATTGTTCTACCTCCAGCCTAACGTCTATATAGCTCATTGGCGTCGAAGATGTTTCAACTTCGGACCAAACTTTTACGCCATGAGCGTGCAAGACTGGTAGACGTATATCTTTCTCCAATTCGTCAGTTCTCAGTCATACAAGGACGAGCGAGAGACGCCAGTCAATCTGGTAAGGCCACAAGATCATTGCTCTCCCAGTTGTGCCTATCTCCACCTGACTCTTGTAGGCCATGATGCCCCTAAAGTTCGATCTCTTCACTCGGGGGCTTCATATACTCGCACTTCTCCAAGGAAGACCAACCTTCCTCCGGCCAATTTGAACTCTAGAAAAACCGACTCCGACAAACCTCGTCCTCGACGCGTTTTTGACGCAAGATCTCTTGCGGCCCCTTCAGCCAATGGCCAGTCTACAAACGTTCTAAGGAGCACCTCGTTGCGAAACCCCCGCAAGGACCATCCATTCGCACTCGGAGGTCGAAACCCCCAACGAAGTCGTCAAACCCCAAGTCACGCAAAAGTGGACGGCCTCAACGTTCGAAGAATACAGACATGGAAGAAAGTGATAGCTCTCAATTAGAGAATGTATATCGCGAACTCGCTGCGAAATCAAGGCCAACGCCTAGCCGCTACAAACCCCAGGCCCCTGATTTCTCTAACCTGAAGGAAACTTGGCCTTCTTTTCCAATGGGTACGACTGCCAGTACTGCTGAGGTTGTTGAAAAGCTATCTTTTCTAAGTGGCCGCTTTCCAAATGGCTATATTCCGCCTTACGAATTGGGCATGCGGCTCTTCAGGGGACAATTCGTTCAGTTTCTCGACGAGGAGGAAAAGGCACAGGCTATAGCAGACGCGAAGAAACTCTCCCAGCAGCGTGCAGACAAATACTCGCAGCGGAAAGGCGATTTAGTAGAACCCAAGGACGTCGGCTTCGTTCCGATGAGTGCAGAGTACAGGAAGTCTTTGGTACAGTCCTACATCCAAGGAGCTTATCCCAAACTCAGTACTGAAGAAGCTGCCCAATCGCCTGTTCTCAGCGAGGTGACGAAGAATCTTAGAAATAACGAGTCTTACCAGGCGGCCGGTAAGAGCTCCCAATTTGTTGCCAAAGTGGAATCGCTCCTCTCTTCGGCTCGCCCCGTGAGGCGAGCCTAAGCGCTTTTGAGAAGCCATTGTATTGTACATTAACATTAGTATTTCTTGGTTCATCCCATATACTGTTTACATATGTCGAGCAATTCATACTTTACGTCGGGTACTGGAATCACTTCGCAGGCAGTGACATTGGTATTAACCGTAGCACAATTGGATGCCTAATTATTACAATGATTCACAAAACACATTTCCGGCCAACACTTCAGGTTATGTTCTCTCCATCACCTTCTTTGCAGCTTCGAAAAGATCTCTCACTTCCCTTTGCCCTTTCTCCGTTACCTTTTCCATCTGTTCCTGTGCTTTCCGAATGTCATCCGGTCTAGCTATTTTCTTCTTTTGCATATCCTGAAGGCGTTTGTGTACGGAACTTCTCGAGTCGCGGACTGCCGCTGTGGCCTTTTCCATGGCCGCTTTCGCGATACTGACTGTCTGATCCCGCGATTCTTTGGTCGGTGGTGGGATTGGTATATTCAGTTGCAGAGAGTTATGCGTGTCTGGCTGGGGTGTTAAGGACAAATCGGAAGACACAACCGCCGAAGTTATGAGTTTAATGTGCTGTCAATCTTGTCAGAAAGAGCTATTAAGAAAATTGCGAGGGCAAAAGCTCTAGATTACGGCTGGGAGGGGCAAGAAAAAAAAGAGGGAGGGAAAAAGACAAAAAAGTGCCTCACATCTTCTTCAGAGACCAGTACAGCTACCATGCGGCCTCCCTTAGGAACGACTTGAGCTAAATCCCCTAGTTTCAAGGTTTCTTTGCTTCCTTTGCTTAGCTGAACACGAAGATTTTCGATAGCATCTGTGTTAAGTCTTCCTCCCATGCGCAGCTTAGAAAGGTCGTCTTTGAGACGGCACACCGCGACTGCAATACCGTGATGTAGTTGAGCGAGATCATATGGATCCTCAGAAACAGCAGCAGCTTTAGGGGGCCTTGCATCAGGGCTTGAGCTAGAACCGCTCTTTGTTTTATCTTTTTTCTTAAAAAGTAGAGGGCAGGTGGAAAACCTCATTCCCCCGTTTGGGACTGCTAGACTGCGCTCTTGAAGAAGCCAGCGCCCCCGTTGAAGGTTGACTGGAGAACTGACATTTGTAAGTGAGGATGGTAGACGTTGGATTTGACTAGATAATACTAGAGTACGTTGCATCTTTCCTGATATCCGCCGCCACTGACAGACAGCAAAGTCAATTGACCAGTTGGTTCAAGGTGGGTTGAAGGAGGCAAGGCTTTTCGCTCGAATTTATGAGATAGCATCTCCTCAACGCCGGGAACTGCCATAATCCGTAAACACTCCGTAGATCACCGGCCTCAAGGCCCACTACCCAATTTAAAAAAGATCGCTATTTCTGACCCATTCATAACGCCAATAGCTTAGGCCATGTAGTACTCCGTAGTTTTATACCTTCTGCAGTTCGCACAGAATAGAGAAATTGCTAAACTAGTTATTGCAATATGCTAGAGGTATAGTTATTACAAAGTCCACGCGCGTGAACTCATTACAGACCTTGGAAATTAAAACATATGATACCCGCGATATATCATGACAAAGAGTATATAGATTCACCGGCTCATCAAAATCATAGGAAGGGTCTTCTCCGAGATATTAGACAATGTTGACCAATCTGTATTGAATCATAAACACACGCCTGGCCCAGAGGGCCCACACATATACACGAAACTCATATCAAAATTGTTGCATAGGTAGCAGAGCAGCAGATCGGCCTCTATTCATAATACTAAGTAGATAACGCGTCCAGTTCGTTTTTTGATTACTTTTTTTTTTCCTACTTGCGGCGGTCACCGTAAGTCCTGCGAAGATTCATTTACCGAGTGGCCATAGCCTTAGTAATGAGTCTCTTGAGGGCAAGCTCCTTCTTCTTAAGATCCTCGGGGGTGGAGTCTTCGATCTCGAGCTGAGCCATAGCATCGCTGAGAGCGGATTCAATCTTCTCCTTGTTACCACGCTTCAGCTTCATCGACATAGTGGGATCGGAAACGATCTCCTCGACGCGGGAAATGTAAGACTCCAGCTGCTGGCGGGACTCGAACTTCTTCGTGAAAGCCTCGTCGCTAGACTTGAACTTGGCGGCATCTGAATGATGTCAGTTATGGTACATCTCGGTTAATCTGATCAGATAAAGGTACTCACCGTCGATCATTTGCTCGATCTCTGTGGTTGAGAGCTTACCAACAGCGTTCGAGATAGTGATGTTCGCACTACGGCCGGAAGACTTCTCAGTTGCGGTAACCTTAAGGATACCGTTGACGTCAACTTCGAAAACACACTCAAGGGCAGCTTCACCAGCTCTCATGGGGGGAATGGGAGCCAAGGTGAACTCTCCAAGAGAGGTGTTGTCCGCACAGTTCGTACGCTCACCCTGGTAGACAGGGAACTGAACAGTAGTCTGGTTGTCTACAACAGTAGTGAAAGTGCGCTTCTTGATGGTGGGAACAGTCTGTCCGCGAGGAACCACAGGGGCAAAGATGTTGCCCTCCATGGCAACACCAAGAGACAACGGAACAACGTCCAAAAGCAGAAGATCCTGGGTCTCAGCAGAAGTAGCCTTTCCTGAAAGGATGCCAGCTTGAACGGCAGCACCGTAGGCGACAGCTTCATCAGGGTTGATGCTCTTAGAAGATATATCAGTCAATGTCAATCACAATATGCCACAACAAAAAGAACTCACCTTCTCAAGCTTCTTTCCGTCAAAGAAGTCGCTGAGAAGCTTCTGGATGCGAGGAATGCGCGTAGAACCACCAACAAGCACAATCTCATCAACCTTGCTCTTCTCAAGGCCGGAATCCTTGAGTACCTGCTGCACTGGCTCCAGAGTGCCAGAGAAAGACTTGGCATTCAGGTCCTCGAAACGGGCACGAGTAATGGACGAGTTGAAATCCTCTCCATCAAACAGAGAATCAATCTCAACAGTAGTCTGGGTGGCGTTGGACAAAGTGCGCTTGGCACGCTCACAGGCCGTTCTCAGGCGGCGCAGGGCTCTGGCATCGCCCGAAAGATCCTTTCCAGTCTTACGTTGAAATTCCTTCTTGAAATGCTCAAGCAAGTTGGTATCGAAATCTTGTCCACCAAGGTGGGTATCACCAGCGGTGGCCTTGACAGTGAAGACACCACCCTGGATGTTCAACAGGGACACATCGAAGGTACCACCACCGAGATCATAGATAAGGACATTGCGTTCCTTGTCGGATTTTCCAGAACCAAGACCGTAGGCAATGGCAGCAGCAGTGGGTTCGTTGATGATACGAAGGACGTTAAGACCGGAGATAGCGCCGGCATCCTTGGTCGCTTGACGTTGGTTGTCGTTGAAGTAGGCTGGCACAGTGACAACCGCCTTTTCAACCTTCTTACCAAGCTTGGTCTCCGCGACCTCTTTCATCTGTGATATACCATCAATCATGTAGTCTAGCGATAGAGTTCGGCTCTAATTACCTTCATCAAGACCATGGAGGAGATCTCCTGGGGAGTGAAAGTCTTCGTCTCTCCAAGGTACTCAACCTCGACGGCGGGGCTTCCTCCCTGATCAACTACCTTGAAGGGCCACGATTCGACATCCTTTTTGACAATAGGATCATCAAAACGACGGCCGATAAGACGCCTAAAGTATGTTAAGACGAGAAACAAAATCTCTAACGGTCATTCAGTAACGCACTTGATATCGAAGATTGTATTCTTCGGGTTCATCGCCGCCTGGTTCTTTGCGGCCTCACCAATCAAGCGCTCCTTCTCGGTAAAAGAAACGAAGGATGGGGTCGTGTAGCTACCCTGCTCGTTGGCAACTGAAGGTGACAAAATGATTAACCAACAATCTCCATTTCAGGAAGCTTGAAGTAGACATACTAATCTCAACGTTGGTGCCTTCATAGTTGGCAACACAGGAGTAGGTCGTGCCTGGGAAACTGGTTAGCTTACTTGCATAGAAGGAGATTCAAAAACGAAAGAAAAAAAGGGCAGAAGGGGAGAAGGGGAGAAGATTTCGGGATACACAAGAGCAATCGAGGTATACCACTCACCAAGGTCAATACCAATGGCGCCTTCGTAAACTTCGTCAGACATGGTGAATAAAGAGGGGGGGGGGGGGGAGATGAAAGAGACAAGGAAAGAAGGGAGAAATGGGATGGAAGAAAAAGAGATTTTGAGAGGGGAGGATTATAAGTTCACTCCAGGTGTTGAGAGAAAAAGCAGAAGGAAAAAAATTGGACAGTTCTGAGGGGAGGGCAAAAAGAAACCCACTTTTTGATTTTTTCTTTTTTTTTTTCCTTCTTTCCTGCGTCTTTCAACCTTTTTCTTCCCCTCGGCTGGGGAGCAAATGAAACCGCCAGTGCTAATCCATGGTTGGTTAAAGCTAATTAGATAAGCCAGTGTTCAACTAACTAACTACAAGTAACTACTAGTAGTACTGGTAACATATTCGGTAAGAGGGCGGGCCACGCAAGTAGCCGGGTCAGGTCTGTATTCTATACAATATCGCCTTATTTCAAACATCAATATCTCAATCAATTAAATTAAAATTTATTTTAAATTTTATATATAGTCTATATATACTAAAGGAATAGCTACTGAAAATTATAGCTTCTAATTATTTTTAATTATCAGAGTAAAATAGATTACTATATATTTTATAGTATTATTAATATACAGCTGTAATTTATATCTCTAAAGATTTTTTCTGCTAATAGATAAGATATAAATAATATATTTATGATGTATTAAAATCACACTCTGGTATATCTAACAGGATTGAGATATTGATATTTAAAATAGACAGTTTTCTAAGGCAGACCTGACCCAGCTACTTACGTGACCCGCTTCCTTACCGAATACATTTAGTTAAAAAGATTGTCCATCATGAAGCATTTTCATGTATCACTAACATACGGAGTAGTATAACCTACAACAAAACTACTGACGGCAAGTACTGTATTGTATAGACTTTCTGCTACACAAGAATTACCACAGGTAGATTCTATGATTCCGCAAATTAGTTGTGGCATTTATTTATTTGATATATCCCTACACGCACAATAGAGAATAAATCTCTCTTATACGGAGTAGTACAGAATGGTATTGGATTTTGGTACCCATTGCTTGTACACCCCTAATCTCTTACCACAAGCTATGAGTCGAAGGTGATTTTTAGCTAATATCCATTAGACTATTATGCCTCACGAGAGTCACCTATTTCTAACATCCCAGAGTATGTTAGTGACCAGGCGTCATTTTACACTTTAAGACTTTGATTAATTACAGGTTGCTTGTATGTGGATCGCTCCACTCTTATAAAGGGAATTTTACATGTAAATTTAGCAACCGTTTGGACACATGAATCGAGTTCTCATCACTCGACGGACTCTCTCAGAAAACTACTTCTATTGAGATAATGTCGCCTCTACCACGGTTGTAGCATGGAAAGTCAGGTGTATTTGCAGGTGGAACTATCATTCGGATTATTAACATAAGTAAAGGAAGAGAAGTAGCAGTGATATATTACCAACAATCTCCCTGTCACTACTTGGGGTACAGAGTAGCACTGCTTGAGAATTGCTGACGCTCGCATTTTACTCTGGGGTAGATCATTGTGTATAAACAGGATATATTGTACAAGGTCGGTAGATATATATATACAGCTGAACATCCCGAAACCATCATACTCCAATATCACATTTTACAATAAACAGTAAGCAAGAGAATCCTCTATATATAGATATAAAACCTCACGTATTTATGACGCAACTGAGCGTTGAAGGCTATAACAGCATGCAAAGAACATCACATCAAACTTTACTGCTTCCCTCGCGGTGACTGCTTCAACAAGATGAAAATACAAATTGATGACATACCCAGATGTTCCTCAAAGCAATGAACTAAAACCAGCCTAGCCAGTCATCTTACCACCAATAATACACTGGAAGACTCGGACCTAATGCCAGTGGTGATTCATAAAATAATGAGGCAACAGGGGCAAGTAGAAACTACATGGAATGGTGAATACTTTTTTTGGCAGCCTTAGGCACTAAAGCGGCTAGACACCTCCACCAAGAAGCAAATGTGGGTATCTTCATTGGAGTATTTCTGTCTTTTCACTTGTGTCCTGATCCGATCTGCTCCCTACTTGCTCCTTAGGCCGGTGAACCTCAAAACTACACCAACTCGTGATCAGAGACGCACACCAACTGCGAACAAGTCTCCAAAAAAGCCGTGCGTCAATTACATTCCACCCAAGTCACTCCATCATCGGTTATTGTTCCGTAAGTATCTATATAATAAGAACACCCATAGTTCTTGCCTATTAGCATGGCCAATATATATGTAAAAAGATCTGTCACAGCTAAAATATAGTCAGCAGTTGCTGTATCCACATCATTGCGCGCTTCTTGCCGTTCCAAATGGACATCGATATGAGCAGGAGGAATAAGAAGCCCCGCCTTCTGCTTGAATCCGAACGAGAAAGGCTCGAGGAATTCATCGACTCTATCCACTACTCCGCGAGGTACATTGACTCATATCGTAGACTGTCGACATGAATGCTGACTTGCTCACAGATATTCCGATGATCAATTTGAATACCGTCATGTTCAGCTCCCCAAAAACATGCTCAAAAAAATCCCGGCCGACTACTTTGACAGCTCCAAGGGAACCCTTAAACTGCTTTGGGAGGATGAGTGGAGGGCCTTGGGTATTACACAGGTGTGCAGGCCCGGTCACTGCTATCAGATTTCCAAGTTATAACTTGTCTAACTTCGTCGCTGGTCAGAGCTTGGGTTGGGAGCACTACGAGGTTCATGAGCCGGAACCGCATATTCTGCTATTCAAGTGAGCGCCTTACTTTGAACTTGTTCACCTTTGGTACTAATAGTTGTGCCAGGCGCCCCCTCAACTACCAGCCACCAATGTCACAGTAAATATACCTCCAATTCGATGGTCAATATTTAGCCTTTCTCTTCTCATTTCCCCATTACTTGGACGAGCAAACGGCCGCTAAATAAGGTGCGGAGTATGCATAAATGAGATTATTCTTAGGCAATCAGGTACTTCTTGCATGAAATCTCGACAAGGAATATAATTCAATGCTGCTAGAAGATGCCTCGTTTGTCGACTAAGCCACCACGCACTGCCACCATAACGGCCGTTTTACTGTGCTCCAGCCATTCATATATTCTATTTGCAGGATCCTTTTGTCTAGAAGGGGTTTTCAGACCACGTTCTTGGCCAACCATTGCCCCCACTGGGTAGCAGTAAAGCTGCTACTGATCCCCGGTTCTTCGATACCCTAGATGACGGTGTCAGTACATCGGGTCACTTTTAACATTCGCGCAACTAGGAATGGCATACATTGAAGTATACGGTCGGAGAAACATGGACTCCTACAGCACGGCCTGCCTAATTTGTTGTGTTAGATTGGATATATCTCATATCGCCGGAGTCTTAATATCTTACTTTGACCATTTTCTTGATATCATCGGTGACATCGTTGCCGGTATTCAATTTCCCGTCATCACTAGCTTTGTCGCTAACGGTCAAAAGCTTGAGCACCTCCCGCTCCTCCACTCCCACAAGTCCGGCAACCTTTGCCAATCTTTCATATGTTCTATTGCGTGTTTCGTTAACCACACTGACATCAAAGAAATCTTTCTGTTGTTTGAACAAAGCAGCACTGAATTCCCAGAATTTCTCGGGAGCTACTCTCAAAACAGCCGCGCCCGCTTCGTGCGTTAAAGTTGATGATGGGTGCCAGGGTTGGATATGTTGGCGAAAAATGACCTGCAGTTTGCCACGGTATTGATTTTCAAGTGTAGGCCTGACTGAGCTGTAGAACGTATCGAACATTTTTGCAGAGAACTATGGCTAAGTTTTAGCGTACATGGAAAAGCATAGTAGAACCGACAGTGTGAACTCACAGGACATGTATAGTCAAGATCTCAGTTTTTAGTATCATCAGCTACCACATATATGTCAATCCAATGCCTAACATACAGAGTTCAAGAGTGTGTTGCGGGTGTTGATCAGTACCAGCCGCAATCTTTGGCCCGAAAATTTTGGGGGAAGAGCCATTAGTGATTGTATCTAAAAAAAAAAAAGATATGGTTAGGTGCTCTCTGTAATTCTGAGTTGTTTTGTGGATGTGAGATGAGGTGACAATAATTGTATTCAAGTATTTAGTCTGTACTCCCTATAGGGGTGGGGTAATTTATCAATACCTTACGTCATATCACACTGATTATTTATTACTTGAACAAGTCACATTTGGCCCGCGAAAGACAGTACAGCCAACAGATTACTAGGTATAAGCTACTCATATTCATAGCCCAGTAATGATAGTTGCATAGCATTTTAATGAAATGGCCTTTCCGATACTTGCTGATTACTTGATAAGCATGTTAGCATACCGTCTGAACCCCATTACCTACTCGTGCATATCTGTATAGCTTAGATCTAATCTCAGCAACATGAACAATCACAATGCCTATTTCGTTCAATCTCCTAGATGCCAGACGTCTGAGAGGCTGTAGCATGGAGAGGAATGCCCACAGTTTGAATGCCCAGGAAATAAAATAAGTTGAAAAAGAGACCTCTTCCATACATTAAGTCCCGTGTCTTGAGTTACATCAGAATGCACCTTGTAAAAGGGTGGGCAGCCGGTTAAGGGCCACCAAGCGCTGTTTGGTTGAATATGCTCACATCCTTAAGCTGCATCGAAACCAAAGACCAACTGGCCGTTGCTGGATCGTATTCACCTTTCACTTCAACCCTGCAAAACCCTCTGGGGCCTTTCAAGCCGACAGGACCGATAAAATAGAACGCGCCACGCCGAGGACGGTGTAGTTCTTGGGCCCAACAGTCCTTCAGCCGCATCTTAAAAGCTAACGATGCTGCGTACAGATCAGACCCGGGACCAAACTTTGGTAAAGGCAATCGTTGCAGTGTCGAGATAACTAGAGAATGATGAAGGTCGGCGCCACCTTTGTCTCGCAAGGTGCCCTCCTGAGAACCAGTAGGTGAGGTCGACTGTGTTTCAGACTGATGCATGGGGTGCAATCCGTCCAGGGGTTGAAGCTCGGACGATAGCGTCTTATGGGACGGTAGGCTTGAAGTACCTGGGGCTTGTTCCTGCTCTAAACCTGTAATATTAAGCCGGGAAAGTTGTCTTTTCACCAAGATCATATAGGCATCCTTTATGGCAAGTGCCACAGATAAAGGCTGTACACACCTCCGAAGACGGTCGCCATCCTCCAGAGACATAGGTTTTGATACCCACGATATGCCACCGTCGGTGAATTCTAGCCTACGCATCATAAGCAAATCCTAAGGGTTGTCCTATCATGAATGCACATACCCTGAGCGCCCATAATCAGGAGGAGCGCGAGATGGAAAATGATGCACTAGCCAGAACCCTGTTACGCGAAGGGGACCCCCTAGCACGCGCGATAGTACTTCAGACTGGGAGGCATCTTTCTGAACAATGGATGCCAGCTCATCTGCACAAACAATGTTTAGCCAAGGACTAAAATGCAACTAAATCGGCCATACCTCTGAGATATTGAAGCTTTTCTCGGTCCCGCGACGTCTTGACAAACTCTTGCCACTCCGGGTCCGATGCTGCATATAGTTCACCTTTGTGTAATCGTGGCCAGCCCAATGGTATGAAAACAGGATCAGAATCTATTGTTCCGCTCGCAGGGTTCTTGAGGCGCCCCTCGGTCTCATCTTTTCGATTTTCGCCCACACCCGCCTTCCCAGGAAGTGCTTCCTGTGTGGCATCGGAATCGTCTAGCGTATTATCAAACTGAAGGAGAACAAATGAACTCCACAAATGAAATGCGGCACCATAAATAAAAAACGTGGTAAAAAATTTCCTAAGGCATATTTCAGAGGGTGAAATATCTATAGTACAACGAAGATTTACTTACCTAATCCACGGCCGCTTGAATTTGACATGGCGCACATTGTTGAGATTCGAGGTCTGAGACAATGGTGGGCTAATTCGAAAGAGAAATGTAGGGTTTGGAAGTAATCGCCTGAACCGAAACATTGAGAGATCGCATGTGTGGGCGCAGCTGTTCAACAAGAAGGCATATCTTTTACCCGTTCCTCAGAGTCCTAGAATTGGCATGCCCCTACCTTAGTATAACTGAAGAGCAATATGGAAAGAACGAGTACGGACTTGTACTCAAGGCTTAAATATAACTATGATCGTACGAAAAGTATCTCCATAAGCGAAAACAAAGGAAAGAGAAAGCAAAAGAGGAATAGAGAAGAGAAGGAAAAAACCAGGTGTCCGGAGGAGGTATGTACACTATTATTGAGATCAAATATGGACAAATCTTGAAGGAGCCTAACATTTGAACTTTCCCCGTATACCTACTCGTAGTCGTCCTTACGGAGTACTTCAAGTGCCCCGAGATTCAACACGTGATACAGACCAGTTGAGATACAATGGGAGGTAACTGAAATTCAGAATACCTAAATGCTGTATAGCTTATAACTTTTAGAGACCGCCTACTGTTATTGGTATTTTATACCTTACAAAATCTTGTACGTCGTTCATTATTGGGCTTTTCTCCAGGCGGTATGGTATATATTTGATGCATGAGCCACGATTGCTAGATGTTCCTACTCCGTAAATTTCAAATACAAGTGGTACTAGTAACTAACTAACGTAGCCGGTAAGCAACCCGGTAGATGCTGTATTCCATATAAACTGGCATATTTTTAAACATCGATATCTTAACCAATATATATTCCAGATATTTATAATTTTATTTATAGTCTATTATATACTATAAGAATAAGCTATTTAATTTATAGATGCTAATAATTATTTATTATCAGAGTAATATAAATTACTTGTATTTTATAGTATTATTTGTATATAGCTGTAATTTATATTTCTAGAAATTTATTTCTATAGATACTCAATATATATATATATATAAAGATTATCTATACAAATACTATATCAAGTTATTAAGTATATCGAATATAAGCTTGTTGAGATATTGGTGTTCAAAATTATATTATTTTGTATGGAATACAGCATCTACCGGGTTGTCTATATTACCGGGTTGCTTACCAGTTACGTTAGTATAATTTGGGGTTAGTAAGAGCTGAAGTAATGTACGGAGTAGCTACTACCCGTACATGGTGCAGGTGCTTCGTCTACTTCACGCTCAAATGCCAGTTCCTGACCAAAAGGTGTACGCTGAAAGTCCATAGAGCTGTCAGTCATCTAATCTCACAAGGCTTTTATCATCACAAGCGATTAATTGCTAGTTCGTTCGCCCAGCATGCATCGGCTCACTCGCTTCTTGAGTCTGTCATTAGCAGTCGCATCCGGAACCAGAGCCTTGGATGCTTCTATATTCACATTCGACCCATCTTCACCATGGCAAAACACAAAGGCTCCGGTGATAACTGATGATGTAGCTCGACATCTCTTGGAGCTCCGAATGAACGTACCTACCGCTTCGACTCTGGGAAAGTGGGATCAAGACATAGTTGAGCTTTTGGACAGATATGGTGGCTTGCCACGTCCGTTGTTTGGCGGTGATATCGACTATAAGGATGTTACTAGGAGCCTTGTGATTCTTGAAGGGCTAGAGCTGGGACTTGGTATGTCAAAAACGATCGTCGCTATTCAAGACAGCTGACGAGCTGTTACAAGGATCTTCTGTTCAGCAAAGGTATCAAGGAGACCTCATGATTGGTAGCCCTTCGGCCAATGGCATAATTGATGGTTTCCTCGACTCATCAGAGGCTAACTCTGACGGCTATGTTGTGACCACAAAGAACTATTGTAAATTCGATGGCGGAGTCGAAACAAGCTCCGATGTTCTTCAAGTAAGAAAGAGATGGCTATCAGTGGGGCTTTTGCTACAGCTAACTCTGACCTGCCTGTAGACGATTGAAAATTGCATTCCTAAGGGCTCTGCATTCGAAGCAGTAGCCCATGTATTCAGCAAAGAGCTTCTCGGCATTGTGAAGCTGGCGGAAACGTGGGTAGACGAGCAGAGCTTGACAGCAGTCTTGAAGATGTCATTGCAGGTACGCTCCTATAATAGTTAGCTTGGCGAAGTATTTACTGATTTACAGCAGTTTCCTGATGATTGTGTGGGCTCTGGCTCTGTAGCTGACTCGCTGACGTCTGCTCTCCATGGTCTACGTTCTCTTTCGTCAGAAGCCAAACAAATCACAGCAGTCCTTCTGCCTAGATCTAGCCAAGGTCAAAGCTCGAAAAGTAGAGTGAACCCTCGAGGGGCCGTGAAACAGGAAGCTGCTGTCAGATCGACTGGTGCGGCAGTTATGACGACGCTCCAGAGGCAAACACATCCAGTTTGTTTCACCTCGAATTCTTCGTGCAATGTGGCAACTGATAGCTGCTCTGGACATGGGCTTTGCTATAAAAAGTCCGGGTCAGCCAACGACGAGGTCGCTAGCGACTGCTACGCCTGCAAATGCAAGTCAACCATCGTCACCAAAGAAGATGGTACTGTCCAAAAGATTCATTGGGGAGGGTCTGCGTGCCAAAAACGAGATATCAGCTCCCCTTTCTTCTTGATTGCAGGTATCAGTATACTGGTGGTCATGGCGGCAGGTACTGCTATTGGGATGTTGTTTCATATTGGACAGAATGAGTTACCAGGTGTTATAAGCGCTGGAGTTGGCCCCGCAAAAGCGCAGAAATGATGTCAATATTAGAAAACCTCTTTTCAATTCGTCTTGAGGATGCGGACTCTTGAAGTCAATGCGGTTTGGTTAACACAACTCAGAACTGATACTATCCTAAGATACAAAGCTTTGTTTTCCTGGTATATGCATTGGTATTCTCATCATCACGATGTACATTAGAACAAGTAATAATAAACAATGGGGGAAGAGTGAGAGACAGCAAGCTTTCTCAATGGGTAACCAACTACCTTGCATACAACTTGAAAACCCGAAAATCTGAAATACCTTGCAACCATCGCGCCATTAACACCACGCCACGGGTAATAACATTCATGAGGACTTGTGACATTAAGCCAACAGCCTGGAACAAATGTAGATGCCTAAACAGGGACTTTACACATCCTTCATATGTAAGACAAAGTTGTCTTTCGAATAGTGGGGTACTTCAACGTATTATACAGAATGATATTCATGTCTTCGCGTGACCTTGCACGCTGTAAATAATCGTTCCGTTGCCCGTTGGCATTCCAGATGCCATGAAGCGAGGAAGGGCAACGTTTTATGTGAACTGGATAGGGGAGCTGCAACACATATTTTATGAGGCTACTCAGGCGCTGGACTGGGCTTCCAGCTGGCCAGGTGTCCGATCGGCCGTAGAGCGAGCAGTGTCCGTCGGTTGCGGCATGCTCTCTCTTGAAGAATGATTCCGAGCAGAAAAAGATAGAAAAGAAAGATCCAACGACCGAACAGGCGTGAATCTAGTCCTCCAATTTCGGTTCGAAGGCTCTGGGGCTGAGCTTGACGGGTTACTAGTAGGCCGAAAGTTGTGATGTTGTATTTGCCAAAAACGTGGTGCAGTTGGCCGGGACGATTGGGTTCCATTTCTCAATGGAACCTGTCGCTCCGATATAGCTAGGGGGTTCCGAAATGGGTTAACACGCCCTCCTATAAATACTGATTGTGGTTGTGGGGGTACGACCAATCGTGTTGTATTACGACGGCCTGAGCGTTCTGCATTAGTTGTTTGTCCGCCAGGATCAGAGCGAGGCTTTGGAATATAGTAATCAGCCTTGCACAAGGGACAACAGGCTCTTCGACTCGTTAACCACGGATCGACACAGGATGCATGGAAAGCATGACCACATGTAAGCCCACGTATGTCATCGTCATCTTCGATTGTGTCAAGGCAAATTGCACACGAATCGCCTGGATTGGGCAAAAGTTCTGCTGGTACTGCAGTGCGAATTTGATTATTGACATCCTCGTCATCCTCAAGAGAATCACAACTCTGCAACTGTTTTGTCTCTGAGCCATGGGTGGTGTCGGCCACTACAGCAAATGCTTGATCGGCGCTTTCCTTCTCTTGCGGCTGCGATGAGGCCATCTGTGCATGTTCAACCGGTATAAATGACTGTGACGTGGTCGAGTTACATCGATGGTGGCCTATTATTTGTGAATTTGTTGTGGAAGAGTGTGCCCCAATAGTGGTAGATAGAACATCGTGTTCACCTTTCAAGCTTTGGGGCCTACTATTTGACGCCGATATTCCACCTTCAGTTGGAAGACCTTCATTCGCACGCGAAGATCTCCACACTTTGTATTTGATAAGTGGAAACCGTTCGTTAACTTCATCCATACTCATCAACTTTTTCTCCCTCCTTCGCCTATGTGGACGAGGCATGGTTACTAAATCTATCGGTTCACCCGTTTCCTCATTGCGTAATTGGCGGTTTCGCTGGTTATATCTGAAACAATACTTTACCCCAACAATAATCCTAAGAGTGGTCGACAAGATTAGCGTACATCTCAAACATAATGCAAGCTTGGACATACCACAGGTTCGTGAACACAACACCGAAACCAAGGGCAACAAAGAATAAGAGGGGTGAACTTGTGGGACTTGAGCTACTATCATCTCCGTTGTGATCAGTACTGGTGGTAGTTGGTTGTAAACCTGTTGCGGTGGAGGCCATCTTGACAAACGAAGACGTGATGATACTGAAGGGGTTGAGCGCAGTAAACAGTGCCGGCGCTCTCGATTGTTAGGCAGTGATATATCTGGAATCCACGAATATATTGACATGAGATGTCGTCGAGAAATCAACAACCTAGATTAACTTTATCCCTGGAGCACTGTAACGGTTTTATGGCTCTAACACGCAAAAGCGATGGGAGCAACCCGATTCATCAGCGTAGCGACACAAGGCACACACCAAAATGGGAACGCGGTGGATCATCACTGGTGGCAGCTGCGCCCGGAGCTGCTGAAAGAATTGTTCCTATTGTAAACCTAGGACGTATATCGCATTTGAATCTAGAATGCCGTTGATGGAGACAGCGATACTCCACATTAAGGTGGGTGGTAATGTTGGTAATGCGTGGCCGAGACCAATGGCTGAGCAGTCAGGTCACGGGGTGGCTCATTATAATCTACTCTGCAGTACGAAGTAAGGTTGTACCCTTAACATTCGATTTCGTCCCGCAGCACTCCGTACTCTGTACAGTACTTGTAGCAATGAGGGGTACAACAATTTACAAAAGTTAAAAAGGTAACTCCTAGGTACGTATTTAGCGACTACTGGAGTACTTTCCTATCATATCTTTCATATCGCCTTGTACATATTTTAAACATGTAGTACACTAAGCCATACCCGAGGCAGAATGCTTCGGTAATAAATCGAAATAATATTGATTTGACAGAAAATATTTTGTTATACTGTAACGATTGAAGTGACCCGTGTGCACGAGAGACGGTATATTCTCTGACTTCCTCTAATCCAATAAGCTAATTTGAAAGTGGGGTTCTATGGAGTCATGCGGCTTTTCACGATTGTGTACCTAGATATATACCTACCAGCAAGTTTTACGTTATCACACTACCATCGTTATTCCCCCAACCGTTTTATGGTTTCTCGATAGTGCGAATCTGCAAAATGGACAGTCAAGTTACAAGCTCAACTGAGAATTCCAACCCTGTTGTCTTTTTTGACATCACTCTAGGTGGTAAGTGCGGAAGATAATATTCAGAAACACCAACCTTTTGCAGATCCTACCGCTCTGAGGGATTCCTAGCCTGGTTTCACCAGCACAACTCAATTAAAGATATGTAGCTATGGAATACAGAATATGGAGCTGGAATATCTACCTCACCAAATAAGATCTATAGAGGCTGAGCATACATTATCTCACAGGAGAGTCACTGGGACGTATCAAGATGGAAATCTTTACCAGTATCACGCCCCGAACAGCAGAGAATTTTCGCCGGTTCTGCACAGGAGAAAGCAAGAATCCCCAAGGACGGCCACAGGGATATAAGAATAGCAAATTTCATAGAGTTGTGTGTACATTACATATCCTCGGGGCTATGTTTCTGGGGCTAATTAATACATTAAAGATCAAGGATTTCATGATACAGGGTGGTGATTTTGTCAACGGCGATGGCACAGGTTCTTGTACCATTTATGGCACTCCACGATTTCCAGATGAAAATTTCATTTTGAAGCATGATCGCCCAGGGCTACTAAGCATGGCAGTAAGTCCCAGTACGAAAGTCTGGGGAAGTGATGATACTGACATGTCCAGAATTCTGGACCCAACACAAACGGTTGCCAATTCTTCATTACAACAACTGCGACGCCGTTCCTAAATAATAAACACGTGGTGTTTGGACAAGTAGTGGAAGGGATGGACGTTGTGCGAATGATTGAAAACACTCGTACAACTAGGGATAAACCTAATCAAGACGTGACCATTGTTCAGTGCGGGGAGATGTGATACTTGATCAATAAACCGGTTCGAACCCCAATATATGACGCTAGGTTGATTCCCATATTCTTAGGCGTAAGTGATTTTCTGGGCTCTATCTATAGCACTTAACACTTTTCTTTCCCTCCTTGTCCTTACAAGCCAGTAATATCACAATCTTGGACTGCATCCAGAGCTTAAAGCTTGAACTTGCTAAGGTAATCAGAAGCCAAGGTGATAGCTTCGTCAGTTTTGTCTGGGTTAGTACCATTGCCAATAGACGTGGGCCCTTTGCCACCAGCCTTTCCACCGACCGCAGTAGAAACAATAGCTGCCCATTCGCTCGCGGAAGCTCCTTGATCGGTTACGGCCTAGTATGAAATAAAGATTGTCAGTCTTGGACGAAAAGTACAGGGCGATGATATTACCTTTGACACATAGCAGCCGTGGACGACACGGCCTTGGCTAGAATCCGCGGCCAAAACGTAAACCGTTTTATCCTGCAGCTTCGACTTCACGTGGTTCAAGGATTCGCTGACAGCTTTTGCATTCGCTGAGATTGGAAGCCTAGCAACAAGCCAGGACTTGTCTTGGTTTTCTGGGTCTTGGAAGTAAGAAGTAATCGCCTCAAGCGCCTTCTTCGATTCAAGCTTCTGTTGTGCTTTTTGCGAATCGATGATTTGCTTGTTGATATGTGCAAAGCGCTCACGGAACCTCGATTTTTGAACTGCTGAGATTAATAACTGGCTAAGGTCGACTTGGATTTGCTTGGCATCCTGTTCCTTCTCAGGACCTAGAGCCATTGCTTCAAGGCTGTCCAAACGCTTCTCGAATTCCTGGGCGACACGCTGCACTTCATGAGCATCCTCTCCGGTAACTGCAATTATTCTGCGGATGCCTTTGGCAATGCCGCTTTCTTCCAAGATAACAAGGTCCTTAATGTCGCCTGTCTTCTGCACATGAGTTCCACCACAAAACTCAATACTAACTTTTTCCCAACGAGGATCCTTAACATTCTTAAGGATCTCCTCCAACTCCACGCCTACAGACACAACACGAACAGGATCTGGATAGGTTTCGCCAAAAACAGCTCTGACACCTGAGATCTGTCGGGCAGTTGCGAGAGGCACCTCCTGCGAGTAGACAGCGCAATTCTGACGGATATACTCGGTCGATATATCCTCAATCTTCTCCAGGTCTTTATCTGTGACCTGTGATTTATGTGAGAAATCAAACCTAAGCTTCTCAGAAGCAACAAGTGAGCCCTTCTGCTC